GCGGCAGGGGTGGGCCATGGAGGTGTTGTGCAGCCGGCTTCTCTGGGGTGGGGCGGTGGGGCTGAGGGATGACAATGTTGGGGTAGTGGAGGAAGGCCCTGGGGCTGAGGTGGTAGTTGTACACGGACTGAGTGTGGGCCTGCAGTAAGTGCTTCATGTCCTCTGGGTTGAAGGAGAAGTGGGAGCCCACCATGGGAGAGGACAGAGAGGGGGATGGGGTGTAGGGCAGGTGGGGGGTTGGGGTCATGGACAGAGCTGGGGATAAAGTTTGGGCCAGAAGTCCCCCTGGACCAGGCAGGGGGGAGACAGGGAATGCTCGGGGTGGACCCTGGGGGCAGGTCGGGGGAGCCCTGCTGGGTTTGGGGCCCCACCGTAAACCCTGAAGAGAGAATCATGAGGCAGGCGGGGAGGAAGCAGACCCCTGAAAGCCCTCTCAGGCCCCACGCCTCGCTCATCGGCTCCCACAGCCTCCTCCAGCTCTGAGTTGGTGGAAGTGCCGTCACTGCAGTCGCTGACGGAACCTCGAGCCATCCGGCGGGCCACGCTGCTGAACATTCCCGGACTGCGTAGCTCCTCGCTAGACGACAGGACGTCTGATGGCGTGGAGGGGGGGAAGCGGAAATGTGTGCCCCCGGTTGGCACTGGAGGAGCACTCTGGGGGACTCCCCGGCCTGTGAAAAGTCAAAGTAATGAAAATGTAAACGTTCATCAAAAAGAACCTAATCAGATTTTAAAATATCAAGTTTATCAGATTTGTGCCTCCAGTACAGGACGACGGAGGTCAGTGGACGTGTGATGAAACTCAGAGACTGGAATCTTAAGTGAGAAAATGTTTTTGTTTCATTCCAATTTTAGACAATCAGTCCTTTAAACTGAAGAGAAAGAGAAAAATAACTAATGAGAGTAGGTCACGTGCCTCCCATAATTCAAACTGTTTTACCCAAAGGGTCACAGACACGCAGAAAGAAAACAGTGGGTTACACAAAGCCACAAGTTCCCTCGTCTCTCAACCCCTCCTCTCTCTCAGTCCTGCCAGGGAGACTGTGGCACTGCAATAAATTCTTGGCACCCATGCACGTGCCAGAATTAAATATTGGAAAAGTTGCTCTTGCTGCCATCACAAACATGGGCTGGGTTCCTCTGTCTTTTTCCAGTGCCGCTGAGTGTGTGTGTGCGTGTGGGTCTGTCTTTTTCAGCAGCACACATGTAAGAGCCATGTGTGTCAGCAAAAAAAAGGCGTATGTGTGCTTATTTAGTGCGTACGTTTGTAAGCTTGCAAATCAATCCAGACTGATGTGGGCATGAGTGCATGTGTAACCATTGTATGAAACCATCATATCGCAACATGTCAGTGTGTGGGCCACGTCACACGCAGGATATAATTAAAGGTTCATGCTACACTTATGTCATCCGGTACCCGACACTCCATATGGGCTGTGTTTACACTGGGTGGCCGGGACCAGGACGAGAGATGGCTTCAGAGGAGGGAGAGACGTAAAATGGGAAGTGGCACACTGCTTTAGAAGACACACACAGTGCG